CGCTCCACGCCCAGGTACGGGCTGAGTCCCAGCGAAGGTGCAGCTCCGCGGGCTGTCAGAGGGCAATGCCAACCGCTCGGGCTCCGATTTAACCGGAGTTTCCGTGGTTACTACGGAACAGAGCGCTCCCAGCCTCGGGGACCGGCGGGGAGGAGGCGCCTGAGGCGGCGGCGGCGGGCGGGAGGCGGGCGGAGGGCCGCAGAGGGGCGCGCCGAGCCCGCCCGGCCCCGGCCCCCGCCTCGGGCGACGCGGGGAGGAGAGGGCGGGGGAGGGCCGGACGGGGGGCGGCCCTTCAGCAGCGCCGAGCGGAGCACGGCCGCGCCGGGCCGCGTCCCCTCGCCGCCGCCCCGAGGCCCCATGGCGCGGCCCGCGCTGCCGCTCCTCATCCTCCTCCCGCTGCTGCTCCCCTCCGCCAGCCCGGCCCCGGCCGCCGAGCAGCCGTCGTGCCACGGCGCCTTCGACATGTACTTCGTGCTGGACAAGTAAGGCTGCGCGGGGCCGCTTTGTCTGTCGGCGGACGCCGGGTGCGGGCGGGGGGGCGAGCGAGGGGGGCCCGGCTCTGGGGGTGATGCCCCCACCCGCTGCTCGCGGGAGGGAGTTGGAGTGCAAAACGCGTTTTCCGAGGGGAAAATGTCCGTTTTTCGGGCAGCATCTGCCGCCCCTCCCCCGCGGCAGCTGTTGGTGCGGGAAGTTTGTGCCGAGGGAGGAGGCACCGCGGCGTGGAGCGAAGCGAAGGGCCCCGCGCGGTCCGAATCCCTCCCAGGAACGGCCCCTCTGCCCTTTGTCCGTAAGGCTGTTGATGTGCTCCGGTTTTCTCCGCAGATCCGGGAGTGTGGCACAGAACTGGCACGAGATCTTCGACTTCGTGAACCAGCTGACGGAGCGGTTCGTGAGGTGCGTTTCGGTCCTTTCTAACATCTGTATGCTCTGTAGATGTGTTGCACAAACACGCTGAGAGCCTGGCTTCCGTGCCCAGGTTGCTAGAAAACAGTGCAAACTTTCACTCCAGCTCCTCGTGTTTGGGACTGAATAAAAAGGTGATAAGCACCTCTGGACACTTTGTCTCTCAAACGACTTACAGATGCCATTTTGCATTTTAATTGTTTTTTTTTTTTGTGTGTGTGTGTGAGCCACATGGTTTATTTCTGATAGAATGTTTCTTGAAGATTGCATTCAGAGCTGTTGGTAAAGAAGGTTGCCTGGTTATGGGTCTGTCTGTGTGTGAATGTGTGGTGCATCCACTGTTCAGTGGATGGGGTGACGCTCTTTGCTGTGGTGCGCACTTGCAGGATAAGGGGCACAAACTGGAACATAAGAAGTTCTTTGCAAACATGTGGAATAACTTTCCTATGAGGGTAACAGAGCACTGGAACAGCTGCCCGGAGAGGCTGTGGAATCTCCTTCTCTGGAGACTTTCAGTACTTGCCTGGATGCTTTCCCGTATGATTTGCTGCAGGGAACTACTTTAGGAGGGTTGGGCTGGGGGATCTCCAGAGGTCTCTTCTAATCCCTATGATTCTGTGATTCAGGCCTGGAGAAATTCCCAGGAAGTTTGTGCCATAGTGACTATGTTCGTGTTGTGTAGATGTGTAATCAGCTCTGTGTGTAGCTGGCAAGCGTGGGTGCTGCAGGAATGCTGTGCAAAAACTGCTAGCTACAACTGAATGCAACCAGATGAGGGTGACTGTGCAGTAGCATCTCCTTAAAAGAAAATTAAAATGATTGAAACAAATAGCCCCCAGCACACACACATCAGTGTGGCAGTTTCTGCTAAGGCAAAAGACATGAGTGGGCACTTATAATCTAATAACAGGAGATAGATAGGGCTGTGTAATTTAATATTTCCCACATCCATCGTCTTCAAAGCAAACATTGCCCAGAGCAAGTGGATGACCTGAGGTGCTGGAAGTTTTATAAGCTTTAAAAGAAAAAAAGAAAGCCTGAGGAGATCGTAGCACCACTTTTTTTTGCAGGGAGTGATTCTTGTCCCACTGAAAGAGTGGTGTTCGTCCAATGTAAATCCCAGTTCCTCACCTTCTACAGCCAAATTGTTCCTTGCAGTGGTTGCAGAGAGGAGCTCTGGCTGCCATTTTTAAACTGAAGGGAGTAGCTGTGGGCAGAACCACAGAGAACCACTTGGTAAGCTTTCACTGATGAACTTATTCTGAGCTGTGTGCCCTGTGTTCATCTGCTTGCCATTCTGGCTTGTCTGCAAAGCAGCATTTGTAGTGACAGTGTTGTGTGCTGGGCATCTTGGTTCTGAAGGGCAGGGTTGCTTCATAGTCATATGATGCTCCTCCATCACCTGAGAGCTGGGAACGCAAATGGAAATGGAATTTCTTATGAAGAGGACAGTTTCCTGAAGTTAGTTAAGTTCTAACTTTGAGGTTTTGGTCAGCAGAGAGTTGTGTCTCAAAGAGGGAAGTCTCACATTGCTTGGGCTGGGTGGTGAGGTAATCCACAGAGATGGGGATTTTGGTTGTTTGTTGTTGAGCAACTGCTTACAGCATCTAACACAGCTGATAACACACAATCTGGGTTATTATTACATACACTGTCATTTATGAAAATTACCAAGTATATTGAAATAGACATCAATAAAAATGGAAAGCAAACAGGACAGTTGTTATGACCTACCTTAGGAAAGTTATTATCTTGGCCTTCTGGAATATAAGTTCCTAAGGAATGCATTTTCCAGTAATGGTTGGAGTTAATTCCTCTTAATCTTGTTGGAAGAGACAGGTAGATTTCTCCAAAAAATACTTAATTCATAATAAAGATAATTTCATACGATGCTTTTCACAATGCCATTTCCCTGGATCCTTTTATGGAGGCTGATCTTAAGTTACACAACTCCGTGTCACTGATGAAACACTCTCATTCTAAAAGTGTGTGTAGAGATGTCTGAAAGACTTTTCTAGAGAGGAAAGGGACAAAGAGTACTACTTCTTTGATTCTGGTGATTCTATGATGCAAAACTACACTTCGTAAATTACTTTGTGATGGGATCAAACTTTACAAAGCAGTAACTAGCTTTTGCATGTGTCCATGTGTAATACACCAGAGCAAGAGTGTGCCCTGAGTGTATGGCTCCAAGTTATCTTTACATCAGTGACCATGAAAACACATTTTTTATACGTTGGTAGATCACAGCCTATGGATTTCATATTCTGTTGGGTCACATGACTTTCTAATTCTTAAGTTCAGCACCTGTTGATTTGGATTTCAGTCAGGCAGGAAAGAATAATATTTCTGCTACTTTGTTCTCAATGTAGATCTGGAAGAGAGATGAACATAAGCACATTAATTCTTTTCTCATTCTTGGTATAGTTGTTTGAAAGTGTGTTCTTCTGAAGTTAGAGGATAAAGACAATAATAATAAAGCACGAGTACATGAATGGAGTATGTGCATCTGTTCTTTTTGTTTGACTAAAATCTATTTTTTTTTCTTTTCCCTCTTTTAAAAGCCCCAAGATGAGATTATCGTTCATCGTGTTTTCCTCCCAGGCACAAGTCATTATGCCATTAACTGGAGACAGGTTAGTGCACTGCGTTTTTAATTTCCCCTCTTCCTCTCCCCACCAAAGGCTCTTATTAAATCAGAGGAGCAGATAGTGCACAATAACTGATACCTGTAGGTGGTGGTCAGTCATGAGGCCTTCGTGCAGATCTGGATTTAATTTTGTAAAGCAAAGTCTGTAAATAAAAGCCTTCAGTGTTACTTAATGTCTATAGGTAAAGCACACAGTGGTACGTTAATGCTTCCTTTAATTTCAGATAAGGTACGTATTTTCTAATTGTAATTTTCTACTCCAGGGTAGGCTTTAGACAGTGGAGTTTGTGTCATTTGAAAAGTGAGAGGTTTTTCTGGCACCATGGACATGTCTTGATGTGCCTGATCCCTTCCATGACTGATGTTTTCAAGTGCAGTGGAAGGCAAGGCTACTTGCCCTGATTTCACAGGAATAGGAAACCATTTTGTAGAAAATGTCTCAAACCACCATGGTGCTGGAGAAATCCTTTCAAACCTATCAGAACATGTCCTCGCTGTCTCTCGTCTGTCCAGAAACCAGACACGCTTCACAACTTTGTGGATTTGGAGCAACTGGATAAATCACATAGGGATCATTAATGGACTGTGTCAAAGTGAAAGGGAGGTAGTTCTTCCTTTGTGTTCCTTTCAGTAGAGTCAAGCTAAAGCATGATCTCTCCTATTTGTTCAGGTTACTGTTTTTTATTGGTGGTATTTTTGTTTGTTTGTTTGTTTGTTTGTTTTTGTTTTTTGTTTTTTTGTTTTAATAATTCATAATAGCAAGTACAACACTTACTGAAGAGAACTCATTGGCAATAAGCAGTCTGGCATCCTAGCAGCAGGCTGTCCAATGACACAGTTCCCCTCCTGTTTAGCATTTCAAAAAGTGGTCTGACTTGAGACCAGCCAAGTGTCTCCCCCCATCCGCACTCCAGTGCTGGATCTGCTCTCTGCAGGGACAGACAAGGTTATAAGCCATTTTTTCAGATGGCTTGAGAGAGGTCATGAGAGGACATTTAAGCCCATTCCAAGGACTGCTCAAGTCAATGAGATCCTTTCTCTCCGTTTCAATAGGCCCTTAATCCCTGCCAGTAGCCTGCTCCTTATCAAACTGGTTGATAGCACACAGACCACTCTGAATGCTTGGGCAGAACTCTGGAATTGTGCCATGGAAACACAAGTGCCTTTCTCATTGCATGTCTGTTGCACTCTTCAGGCTGTGGAAACCTATTTTAAAGCATGGGAAGAGCCCATTTAGTTGCTGTGAGTTCCTCTGTCCAACTTCTTCCTTGCAAGGTTTGCTTTTGTGCATCCCTGCATGGGCAAAAAACCCTTATTGCTTAGGAGGAATTATAAGGAAGATGAAGAAGGGAGCAGGAGTGACTGCACTCTATGCAGATCAGCACGAAGGGATGGGTACAACTGGAACAGTTGTCATTTAAATACAGAGAAAGTCAACAGTTAAAAATTGCTTGGAATTCCACTTTCTAGTTGTTCTGAATGGGAGATGAGGATACAAAGTGTAGTGCAATATCAGGGATGTGAAACTGCACTGTGTGTGATGATGGGATGATGCAGCCGTGTTAGTTTATGTGCATTTTGGCCGTGCTGGGATATTTTTCCCCTCACTCACTTGCTAATTCACAAATGCCAGGAAACCACAATTTATTCCCAGCAGTCAACTCAAAGCTGGGAGGTCTTTTTTGTTTTAAAAGCCATAGGATTCTAATTGTTTGCACACAGTTACTGCTGTTTTTTAATGCATTATGAAGCTGTGGATATAAAGAAAGCCACACTATAGTGGTTAAGGCCCCAGATTACCAAATATTTTGTGACTGTGAACAGTGCTGTGTGGATAACTCTGCAAACAGAAGTCATTGTTAACCTCAGTATACACAATGCTATGATAAATACATAGAAAGAAACAGTGGAATGGAAAAGACTTCTCATGCTGTTTATGTGCCTTTGTAGAGATGCACATTTCCCCTGTGAAATTTGACTGGATACTATAAGCAAATGGTCAACAAAAATTTGTGCATTCACATATGGGTCTCAGCTGTGCTGCTAGCTTTAAAAAGCAAGTTGCTTGGAAAAGTGGTTACACTTAGGAACACTTCCTGCATTCTCCTTGGGCCAGCTATATGCTGGCTAGCAGAATTTCAGGTTTCTGATGGTGCCTTTCTTCTATCCAGAGCCCATGCAGGAGGCTTAACATTTTAAGCAGAATAAGTATTATTGTACATGGCCCTCTGTACTATTTGAGAGTTGTAGAAAGCCAGAAGCTCCTCCAAATCATGCATCAAGCTGATGCACAGAGTTAACTCTCACTAGTGGGCAAGCTGTGTTTGCTGGGGGTGCAGCCATCCTTCCTGTTCTTAAACAGCACTGTTCCTTTGTTTCCCAAACTGGTACCTAAGAAAGAGCAATGATTTGGATAGCTTTTAAGCTTCTATCTTCAAGCATGCTTTCCTTTCTAGCAAGGGTAAATCCTGTCTCTTTGTACTTGTCCCAAATGCAACATATCAGCATCATCAGCAGTCAGACCACTGGGCTGCTGACAGCACTCTTATTAGCATTGTGCCAATTAAACTTTAGAAAAGCAATAGGTAGTGCCCTTGACTTGAGACACCTAGACAACATAGCTGCAGCCTTTGGCCCAAGCAGGGAGTAGTGTTTGCAGACAGGCCCACACGCTTCCCGAAGGAGTTGGCACAGCTTCCACACAGCCAACAAGCTCTCTCCAGCTGGAGTGAGTTATGCTGGCATGAGGTCCTGCTCTCTGAGATAGAGCATGGCAGGGTTCCTCTAAGGGCACTGCAGAGGCCACTGCTATCTCCTTTCTTTTTTTTAGCCACAGTGGGGCTGTGCCTGCAGGCCCTCTTGGCAGAACTTCATTAAGGAGCCAAAAAGAAATCCCAGAGCAAATTGGCAAAGGACATGTAGCTGCAGATGCATTTGCCTGCCTGCTACTGGAGGATTTATTGGAAGTAGTTGCAAAGTTTCTAAGAGACAGGGTAGCTGTTACAAACTGAATGTGCCTTTTCTCAAAGACAGAGGTGTGACATACAATGAATGTGTGCATATACAATGAATGAGGAAGAGTTAGTAAGTCTGTGCTCATTCAGCTCAGTCACAGAGAAGCTCTAAGTTGCTGATATTGTTTTGTTTTCCTTTTCCCTCCCGCATCTGACTTAAACCATGAAGCCAAAGGCAATCCAGCCTGTATTACCGTTATTGAATTGTGCTGCAGTTGTGTCCAGACACCCAGACTGAGGTCATGGTTCTGCAATTTCAGTTCAGACGAGTTTCATGTAAAACCAGATCTTCTCCGCAGTGTTCTGTAGCTACAAAAGATCATTACAGAAACAAGGGAGGGGAGAGTTTAGAAAGATTCAGGCAGACACAGGCTCCTGTGTCCGCCCTTCAAATCTCCTGGGTACAAGTGGTAGAGTGCCTCAGCCAACCCCCCTCTTGCTGTCTCTGGGGCTCATCTGCTCGGGCCTTGGGTTTCTGCATTGGCCTCATGATGTTGCACCAGGACTGACTCCTACCTGAGAAGCTCAGAGCATCTGGCTGGACTGATCTGCAACACATGCCCCTAAAAGAAAGGGGCGGCGACTGATGGAGTTGCAGCTAAAAAAGCCGTTGCTGCCAAAGGTTTTCCTGGAAGCTCTTGTAGGCAGAGGCCTGGAAACACCAGAGATTTTAGTGTGCCTGGGTCACAAGACATTTCAGATAAATAAAGCCCAACTGATTGTACAAAAGTTATTTTTGCAGAGTGAAATCTGTTTCAGAAAACTGGGACTTCGGTTGCTGCTTATTTCTTGGCAGCAGAACACTAACGCCTGTGATGTGCTGCCACTCATCCTGGCAAGCACTGAGTATGTGGTTTATAATCTGCCTTCGTACATAATCAGTTTCAAGTTGTTTCTATAGATGCTGAATATAAAATATTTGGATCAAACAGATTGTATTATCTTACATAACTTGCTTTCCATATATTCATGCAACTTTTTTTTTTTTAAGTTTTAAATTCTATCAGTTGATCCTGTGATTGGGAGCTTACTACATCAATGGATTGTACTTAGGAACAAAGCTTCTACAGATAGAAAAGCCCCATCTATGGAACAAACGACTTGTGGGTGGCATTCAGGCAGAGCAGCATATGCATTCCTTCTCTGTCTTTTATTTTTTGTGTGTGCGTGTGCCTTAGTAAAACCTTTCATAAATCCTGCAACACATTTTCCCTCCATCTCTTTGCTCTTGCTCATTTCCTGATTTTTCCTTATATTTATTCTGTCCCAGATTTCCTGTCTTTACTTAGTTTTGTCTTGTTCAGTTAACCCAGCCTCTTGCAGTCAGTGATGGATTTATTCAAAGGTCCATGAGAAATAATGGCACAAGCTTATTCTTTTAAATGTAAGTGAACTGCAGCCTTTGCAAGTATGGCATCTTGTCAAAGCTCACACAGAAAAGCCATGAGAACTTTGGATAAAAGGTGTCTTGCAGGTACTGCACTTACCTGCTGATACTTGCTTTTAAATTATTGCAATTTTTTTCTACCTCATGTATACTGATCTGGATGATACAACTAGAAACAGAACTGCTACCTTAAGGGATTTCCTTTTCTAACTGCAATGTGACTGGAAATGAAGTCAGTTTAATTGAGCAAAGTGAAGTGAATATAACAGAATTACCATTGAGCAGTTTTAATGCTGAGGTGTGGCCACTTCTTTGCAGCATCTCTTCCATCTGAAGGGGCCTTTGACTCATCAAGGCATCCTGTATTATTGAGATCTAAAATAACTGTTACCACAGATACTTTTGTGGTGAATAGACAATCTGCCTCCACATTATATCTCAGCTATGTGCTGTATTTCACAGATTTTTATTTTAGGCCTCATTTATTACAAATACTATTTTTCCACTGATAAACTAACACCTTTGCCTACTGTAAGTTGATGCTAAGTCTTTTACCTTATTTTTATTTTTTATTTTTTTCCAGAGAGAAAATCAAGGAAGGTCTCAAGAATTTGTCAGAAGTGAAACCAGCAGGTGACACATACATACATGAAGGGTTAAAAGAGGTGGGTTTTGCTCATCATTTTGCAATATCCTCTGTTCTCATCCCACGGGTAGAAACTCATTTTTTTCTTTTGATACCTGTAGATTGTAATTACAATATGTGGGCTGAACAGCCATTATTCTTATATCTTGGAACCTACTGACTGACATTTAAAATCCATGGATAACAAAGGAAATCTTATGGTGGATTTAACAAGCTGTGAAGTTATGTTTTTTTTTTTTTCAAGAATAGGTCAATTAATGACCCCAGTACTTCAGACTGCTGACTGAAACATAGTGATAAATGATTTCCTTGTTAGTACTTTGTAAGAGGATAGTCTGAAGAGATTGGTATGAAGATGAGACAGAGTTGTTCAGATGAGACACTTTGTTTACTTACAATTAACGTTCTAGTTAAAAGTTAAGATATAATTTTAAGTGCAATAAATATTTTTCATTTTCAGGCCAATTTGCAGATTGAGAAGCAGGGTGCATCGAGGTTTTCTAGTATCATCATTGCGCTGACAGATGGCAAGCTAGACGGTCAGATTCCTTTGTATGCAGAAAGAGAGGTGAGCACTAGTTGAAAACATATATTCTAAGAGTTTGTAATGACCACTGAATGAAAAAATACTTACATATTATATACTTATTCCTCTCTATTCTGGGACAGGCGAAGAAATCCAGACAGCTGGGGGCTAGAGTTTACTGTGTTGGCGTCCTTGATTTTGTACAAGCACAGGTAAGAATATTACCATTTCAGATTATTAGGTTGTACCACATTGCAGCGTTTTATATGGTTCATGTTAAGTATTATACATTAGGCTGTACTGTACCTCCACTGGATCAGAAGGCAGACACTCCCATGTGTTTACAAGCACAAATAGAATGTGTGGGTGTCACTTTTACTGTAAAAAAGACCTGCAGGCTATATCCTTGCTAACTTGTAGCTGCCTGTAGCAAAAGTAAAACTCTTCCAGTAAAACAGTTACCAGATTAGGCAACAATATATATATGACATAGCTACGTCTACTGTATAGCTGCAGACAACTTAAGCAGAGCATGTAACAGAGATGAAATGAAAATAAACTAAGGATCCCCAATCCTTATCTTCATTGATTAGAAGTTCTTCCAGAGCTTCTGTTCTCTGGCAAAACTGTCCTAATAGTCACTGCAGCTACTCTTGTCAGGTGAAAGAGTGCAAGAGATATTTTACTACTGTAAAGGCACATAGAAAGGCTTTTTAGTGTAAGGCAGAGCAAACGGGGAAGGTAACTCTGAAAAGAAATTCAGAATTACCACCAAAATACAAGCTCTAAAAGGTTTCTTTATTGTGTTTGTTTGATGGGATGGATAGCTACTATAGAATTTAGTTCGCTGCAGTAAATTCTGGCAAATCCTCCCATTTAGAAAAGTTAGAGGTTGCTTCTGTAGCTGAGAGGAACTCAAAACTTTCCTTCTTTTTGCAGGGTTGATGGAAAGTGGTGGTTTTTTCTTTTTTTTTCTTTTTTTTTTTTTTTCTTTTTCTTTCTTCTCATCCTTTTGTATTTTAATGCTGAAAAGTCATATGAAGTGTTTAATTTGCCAAGTGATTCACATGCATGCTTGTGCTCTCTCCAAAGCTTGAAAGAATTGCTGACACAAAAGAGCAAGTCTTCCCTGTCACTGGAGGATTCCAAGCACTTAAAGGGATAATCAATTCTGTGAGTACTAGGCAAGAAGTTTAACATTTCCTGAAGATTATAGCATTCTCTCCACTCCCTCTTACTTTTCCAGGCAGAATTGGTTCCTAAACCTGTAATTCCAGTGCATTATGCTTTCTCCTCCATATCTTAGAGATGCAGTTCTGTAAATAAGCATTGCCTACCACTTCTGCAAGCTGCAATGCTCAGACCTTGTATGGAGTTTGATGACTCCAAGCTCTATTAAGTGAGTTTGAGAAGAATACATTGAGGTATGGCTGTTACAGGCTTCATCTAAAATAAATTGAGACCATTACTCAGGAGAGTTGAGAATAACTGGTTGAAATCATTAGGAATGAGTGAAAAATATATATTTCACAAATCTTTGTATTCAGAGAAGCATTCTAAATACATGCTAGACCTTTACCACTTCTTTTTTTTTTCCCCCCAAATGTGCATTGAGAGACTCTCAATATTGAGAAGGGACTCTTCAAATGATTACTCTGAATTGCAAAAAGAGATCAAAGCAAGAGGAATGTTATGTTTGTTGTCAGTGGCTGGACAGTATTGTAGCTGTCCTTAAAGCAGATGTGTTTGATTGTAAGGATCTAATTATTTACTTTATGTTAAACCAAAGGCCATGTGCTTTGTTCAAGGTTTAGATTGCTGCTGTTGTGTGTAAGCAGCAAAAAGGAACAAAGCCTATGCTCAACTTAAAACCAAGAATGAAATCCCTTTTCTGAAAGTGATGTCATTATAATTCATTTCCTTTCTTTTTCTTTTTCTTTTTTTTTTTTTAAATAAAGGATACCACTCACAGGATATTATGCAGTCATCAATTTATCACTTCCTTTCAATAGCCCTTTTTTTTTTTTTGTGGAAGTTAAAAGCTTAATGAGGCAACTTTTTTTTTCCCTTATCATTGCTTAAAATAAATGTAATTTGAGAAGCTTCCTTGCTTATTCTAAAGAGGGATAATCAACCTTTTGATAGAGTGACATTTATTTTCCTGAAATGATATACAGTCCATGTGGTACTTCTTTTTTAATCTCTGTTTTTGCCATTTAAAATACTTACACAAATCAGTTCTTCTGGCACAAAGAAATGCAGCATTGAAGCTACCAGAGAAAGACTTACAAAAGCTAAATATTTAGTCCCACTTGGTTAGGCTACTGAATTTCCACAGATATTGCATTTCAAAATACATATGTCAAGGCAGAGTTAGGTAAGGAAAGAAATGTTTGTGTTTGGAGTATCTTCTCAAACAAAAGTCACTGACCTGCAGATCAGATCCTTTCCAGGAGCTGGATTTCTCCACTCTTAGGCTCTCTGAAGAAACAGCAGGAATATGATCTCTTGATGATTCTGAAGAGCTCAGCTTGAGAATTCTGTAATTAAAATATACAGAAAGTTAGCATAGCTTGTAGGCTGTCCCCTTAGCCTCCGTTTTTGGCTGAGGTGTTTTTGGGCAGCCTCTGGCTAGCAGCCATGTCAGTTTCTCCCTTATTCCTTCTAGGAAGAATTTTAAGCACCTTCAGAGTGTGAGTGAGTGTGTGTGTGTGTGTGTGTACAGAGTCAGCTTGGCAGATGGTGCTTGCACAAGCCTCAGTCTAGCTTCTTTTGGCACCTGTGAAAAGACCAAGTGCAGAAGTAGCAGATGTGTGCATATTGTATCTGTACAGCAAGAAGAGATGCACCTAACAGCAGCACCTCATTGTTAAAGGACCAGTTTAAGATCAACAGGAACCGTACAGGAAAAGAACACTTAGAGTAAACTGTTTTACAGCTTCAACGTCTAGCAGACTGTAGCTGGAATAGATCATTCAACATTTGGATCACTGTATATTTCTGTCCATAAAAAGACTGTATGTTGTGGCTATCTGGGCCTAAAGAAAACATTTTCTATGACAACAAAAGAGCATGAGAAAGCTTTTCTGCCAGGAAACATATCAGTGCACCTCGGTCTTCTCTTCATTGTTCTTATTTGTTGGATTAAGTGATTAAACAAAGCCAGGCTAATTATTCGATAGCTCCCGAGAACTTTTAGAGGTTGGAATATTGTCCCCGACTTCCTGAAAAGCACTGAATTTCAATGTTGTTTCGTTTTGCCATCATGGCATCTAAGACTATCCTCTTTCCTTTAGTAAAGCACTTTAAATATCTTTATTGGAAGCAGATGGTTAACAACATGCTATCATTGTCCTTGTTTTTAACTATACGGTGTAGATGGAAGCATCCATAGATATCCATCGTTTTTATTTTCCCTGTTTTTGTTTTTGTTTTGTTTTTAATGCAAGTGTTTTAACATGATTGATATGCTATACTTATAATTCAGTTAGCATTGAAAGGGTTTTGATTGACTGTGACGATTCACTCTCATCACATTGTAAAATTGGTAAGGAAGATCTAATCAAATATGAAATAGTAACAGTTTTCCTTTTATTCACAATTATAAATCCATTTCAGTTTGCAAATGCAATAGAGAATACAGACTCAAAGAGACACTCTGTCACAAAAGGGAAGTATAATTTCAAAAGAGGAAAAGGAAATACCCAAGTCACAAACACGCAAAAGCATAGCTTGAAGTGCAATGCTAAAGGTTCAGTTGTGAAACCTTCCATTAAAATTGTTGAATATTTCTTGTTTAATAAAATATACACTTTACAGAAATAGCAGTGACCCAAGATTTGAAACACTCCAGCAAAACTGCAACACAAAATTGTTCAGTATGAATGGTAGGAGAAGCTGCTCCTCTATTCTACTACATTTGTCTCTACCAAACTTAAAGCTGTGAATTTTTTTTTGGCTGCTCTGTTATACCTGCAGTAAATTGAAAGAATTCTGCGCAGTTAATCTTCATTTGTTGATGGAAAAAAAAGAAGTGACAAGCTTTATCTTAAGAGTATCTGTTTCTACCTACTTCTGCAGTTGTTAGAAGTCTGAGTGATTATGACAATTTATTTTCTTTGGACAACTATATGAAATCACAGCGAGGAGGTTGGAACTTGATAATTGTGAAGATCCCTTCCAACATAAAGCCGTTATATGACTCTATGAAATACGTTTAATGATGGCCATTGATCAATGTTCAAGACATCTGTCGATCAGCATTTAGAGAAAAACAAGTTCAGATCTTGAAAGCTTGTATTGAAATTAGGCTTTCTTACTTCAGATAAAAAGCCCAATGAAGTTTGGAAGAATTGAAGCACCTCCATGGTGCATTGCTTTTTTTTTTTTTTTTTTTTTAATACCTAACAATTAAAAACTATGCACGGACTTATGTGAAGAGCTGACTGTTTTTAAAAGTTTTCAACTCTTCTGACATCACTAATATCTAACTTTACCAAGTAGTAAGTGAACAGCATTGTCAGAGTAAATAAATCCAAGGGGAAATCTAGAGCTTAGAAGAAAAATGCTGAGGGCAACTTATTATGCTATCAGGAGCAGTTTACTGATTCAGTTTGGCTGATAATTACATGGACTATGGCCTTCTGAGCAAGCCACAGCAGTGTGGCTTTTTGGAGTGCACAATTTATATCAGCATGTGGCAATTTAGTACTATATGAGAAAATGGAATTGTTCTTTTTTTTTTTCCTCTCACATAAAGGATTTAAATATATATGTGTATATGTATTAACTTTAATCATATATATATATATATATTTAATGAAGAGCCATTTGGGAATTTATCATTTTCATAGAAGCATAGAATGGCTTGGGTTGAAAGGGACCCCAAGGATCATCAAGTTCCAAGTTTCACTGTTAGGACTAAGTCCATCTGTCATAACCAAAATACTGTCTTCCTAGATGGCTTTGTAAGACTGCTGAGGCAGCACTTGTCCTAACAATCAGACACATGGGTACGGAACATCTTAACGAGAGGATGATCAGGGTTAGGACTGGTCTAATAGCTGACTTACTTGGATCTAGCTTGGTATGGTGCTGAACCAGTGCCTTCACTTGGAGAAATGCTGTGGATTCATTGTTCTTACTAAATAGCTACTATTAATAATACTAACTACTAACTAATAAGTACGAACTCAGAATTTCCTTGTGGGGATCAGATTCCACAAGGTGACTAAAGGCTGTGGGGCTGACAGCTTGGAGAAATTTGGGAGACATATCAGTTATCAGATAAACTTCTCTGTAATGCAAAAACAGTACTGGACTCTGTCAAGGGAGCTGAGTATGTCTGCAGTCATAGAAGCAGGAAACATTGCACTTCTGAACACTGTAATTTTAACTATTTTGGTCAATTATGAAACAGTTGTAGGAACAGTGAGAACAAGATTAAGTAAAGAGATCTGGGAACAAAGATGCTAGTGCCATTTGAATCAAACATTGGAGTCTTTATATGAGACCATACGTCTCTACTCCATTGCTGGACAGCTCCATGTGTTTTCTAGCACCCTGACTGCCTGTCTGCCCTACCCCATCTGGAATTATTTGCTGCCTGTTTGAGTAGGAGTGCAGGAGTAGTCTTTGGTAGAATCAACCTTCCCTACTTCTATTGGGTACATTGTACCTGATGTCGGGCAGCTGTTTTCTTTGGGAGATTGTTATTCTGTTTTGTTTTTCCCCAGTAAGGCTGAAGTTTCTGTACTACCCCCATAAAACTCCACCATAAGACAGTATGAAATTTTATTTCCAGTTGTTTTTGCAATATTTTCATATTTTACTCGCATTTGTGACACATTTCTGTGCTTGTAGCTTGCACAGCTCAGCAAGTCAGTCTGTATCACATTCTGAAAAGCAAAATAAGATAAGGTCCCTGCTTCCTCTTCCATTTATGCAAACACAAGCCCTACTGATTGGAGAGTGAAAGTTGTCTAGTTGTCTGTACAGGCAGAGCTGGGCAAGGCTTGTGCCTGTAGAAGTTAAATTAGTGGAACTTATTTTAGGAATGTTATTAGAGTTTGTGGCAGTTGCAAGTAGACTTCAAAACATTTTTATACTAATGTGAGTTGGCACCACTTAATACTCAAAGTTAAAATATATTTCATACTTCAGAAACCCCCACAAAGCGGTGTCAGATAAAACTATAGGAACTTGACTCATGTAGAACTAAAGAGGAAGTCATTGGCTTAAAAAAAAAAAAACAACAGTTCTGTTTAGAATGCTTTTATCTTGTATAGTTACAGAAGTTCATAAGAATTCTACATACAAGGGATTAGAAATGAGCAGTCGTCTCTTTTGCTCACTTTGTGGGTGCTCAGTTTTGAACTGGGCATTTCAAGTGGGAAAAGCACCCTTAATCATAAGGGAAAAAAAAATCTGATCAAGAGATATAAGCTGGGAAGCTGCATTACACACTACGTATTTTACTTGTATTTTTGAAGTTATTTCCACATTGGCAAAGACCATGATGGGAAAAAGACCCACACCGTTAGCATAAAGTTTATCTTCATAACAAAAATCCCCACAAATATCCAGTTGCAAATTTACAGTTAGTATTTCAACCCTAGGTCTTGAACTTCAGTATAAGTGCGCAGAAAGGCACTAAATTATCTGGACAGTTCTCCTGCAACTATACATTTACTACTGCATCTAGCTCTACAAATCTCTTTGCTGGAATGATATTAACAAAAATAGGAAGAAGGTTGGCTAGCAGTATAGCTGATGGTGAAAAGGGACAGAACCACAGGAAAGAATGATTCTTGGAAGAACAGAGTAATACATATGAGTAGCTCTTAATGCTGAGTGTTTTTTTAGGAAATGCCTGCACTGAAATTAGTAACATCACTTGCTGCCAGGTGCCTTAACCCCCCTGTGATTGAGATTCCTCTCTGGCCAAGTTGCAAGCAATTTAGTTATTGAGTAGTCATCAGGAGCTAAGTTATTTCCCTTTTGCCCTGAGACAGCTCAGCTCACTAGGGCTGAAATCCATCCCTGGTCTACTTGCTTGGAATGTGCTAAGACAGCTCCCCACTTTTTCCTTAAGTGATGTCCCTGAGCTGCAGATAAGGGGAGAAGGGCCAGCAAACCAACTGCAAGCTGTTAAGATTTTTCAAGAGCAAAATGAGCTTAAACAGTTCATTATCAATTATAAATGAATGTAATTGGATCATTTCCTGTAGGAAGAAAATATGCTCAGTTTATGCCCTGGGAATCCAGGAAGCAAACTATTAAACATTTAAGGAGGTGGGGGGGGAGGAGAAATGCAACAAGTTATCATTAAAAGAATTATTATTATTAAATCAGTCATCTTCTTTAATCCACTTGGATGGTCTAATATTCGAGCTGCACTGAGTGCAAGGTTTAGTGCTAATGCTGTGCTATGTTTTCCATGTGATCGAGACTGAGTAGATAGTTTTGGGAATTACTGCATGTAGATGTTAAAGGGACTCAATGGCCTGGAATGGAACGCTTTCTGCTCTATCTTTCACTGCTGTGCAGCCCTTAATTTGACGTTCTCTGACATATTACAAACCAGATAATGTTCTCCTGGAGAACAGAGAGCTTGATAAGCCGGTAACATAACTGACATGGCTCCAGTTTTCACGAGCACACATGTGCCTTGTGATTTGGATACAACTTGTCAGCTCTCCTCACATGGCTATCGGTTCTGTTACATAAGGACAAGCGTAAATCTTGCTCAAAATGAGGCACTTACAAGTCTAACTGAAATCTAGTGTTTCCTTAGCGATAAGTTGTTTTGAGACAGATTTTACTTACTAATTTAAAAAAAAAAACAGCACTTTTTTTTAATGCTATCGAAAGTAGCAGTTTATCTAGATTCTTATTTACATTACTTGTTAAGCACTGGGCTTAGAGGTTTTTTTTTAGTAATTTGAGGGTAAAGGTTCTGATGCTGTTAAAATCCGCATCTCTTCCGACCTGCAGTTTTGTCATCTACATTTGGTTCACTCGGCGACTGCAAATGAGGCAGTGCTTTGACATCGTATAATTAGAATATTCCCACTAACCTGACACTGCAGCAGGCTTCTCTCTGATGGTTATTTTATGCAAGACCATATGTCTCAGGGATTTTTTTTCATTTCGATGGGGGACAGGATAGCAGCCCTCCTCCACCCCCTTTCCTGTTGCGCTTTGTCTAAGGCAGTGCTGAACGGTGTCAGGAAGTAGGCTGAAATTGGCAGCGAGCTGTACTTAAGAGCACAGATGTTTGGCACCAAACAGAAGTATATCCCCATTATGCACATAACTGCTACGGTTGCTTTGCCATTGCTTTGTTGGATGCAAGCATCAAAATGGTGTTTCCTGTGAAAGCATTGGTTTCATTTCTAGTTATCTCAAATAGATTGCCTTCCATCTAGGGTGAGGTGGTACCAGTGCCTGGTGGCTTTTGTCAAAAATCTGCACTGGGAGAGGAAGAAGGGGGGAACACATGCTTTGTTTCAACACAATACCAATATGAGATGTGGCACAGTCCTATAGATTTGGCTTTGGAATTTCATTTTGCATATGGATCTTACAGGAGGAATTATGGATGTCCCATCCCTGGAGATGTTCCTGGAGCTGTGAGCCACCTGACCTGGTGGGGGTAACTGCCTATGGCAGGGGGTTGGAAACAGATAAACGTTGAGGTCCCTTCCAACCCAACTATTCCATGATTCTATGACCATTGTTTAACTCTCTTTTTTAAAATTAAATTCAGACTGAGAAGACAAGAGACCACTTAACACTATCTGAAACAATTCCAGGTTTAACATTGGAGACAGGCAGTGGACTTCAAGGAGCAAATGTTCACGGAGAGGCTGGCCTGCCTAAGAGCAGGGAATGCATGGAACTTCGTGGGTGCTTCTGACCTATAGATCTTGAACATGATTAAGGTTACTCATACGGAATTACTGCAGTCAAAGGATCTACATATATTCATTTGCACTCATAACCTACTCCAGGCCTTTAGTTATAAAGTCTAACCACATAACAGTATAAAGAGGCAACAACAATTACTCAGTTAAAAAGAACAACAACTTGTAAATGAGAGGGAAATCTCTAACAACATCTGCAAACATACAGCCTGAGCTTTCACTGCCTTGATTCACTTCTGCATACTGTAAGACTCAATTAGCATGGCAAGGCAATTACTGAACTATGAACATTCAGAATTTCACTCTTCAGAAGAAAAATAGCAAGCACATAACCACCTCCTGCTTAACTTTCAGTTCATTTTCACTTCCTCAACAGTAGTGGAAAAATGTTTTAGGGGCACGGGAGAAGAAAAAAAAAGTTTCCAATAAGACACTTAAATGACTCATATAAAAATAAAAACACGTGGAAACATGGGATAGGCGCAGTCTTAGTACACCAATCAGAACAAATGAAGCAAAAGCATTTTAGAAACTGAACTGACCACTTCTGTGAACTCCATGTTAATTGGCTCTCCTTGACTTACTTTGGCCAGACGTTAGCCTGGCCTAGCTGGAAATGACTAAACCAAACAATAGTACAACACTGTTTGCATTACAAATTCTCCTAAGGCTTTTTTTACAGCTCTGAACTGGGACGACACTCAAGAAGGTATTAACTTACCCAAGAAGGAGTAACTCAAGCACAGTGCTCTGCAGTCCCAGGCAGTTCACACAGCTGTAACCCAGCATTTCTAAACCATGTTTTTGCACACTCTTGCAGTAAACGATGCCTGCCTGGTAACTGCTTTTTTCTTGCCTACTGTTCCTGGAGCTGCTCTCCAAGCACCAGGTGTATGGCACTCCCTAATTAACATTTAATGGGAAACAAAAGGTACAGGCACTAATTGGCAAGCGACCATCACAACTTGAGTGTTACAGCTGATGACCAAAAGCTTTGCCTGCCTGCCTAAATCCCACTGAGACTAGTAATGTTACAGTTAGTTTTCAATGCTGTTTTGTTTTCATGACTCCTCACAGATGCTGTTTGCAAGTTGTTTCTGCAGCATCCCCCTTCCTCACCTGTCTCCATTTTTTCAGAATATTTTAAGTAATTCTCTTTGTTCTACAGTAAAACAGTGACAGGGTGGTGGGTGGTTGACTAGCACTGTGTATTTATTGCTCTATCTTGGATGAGGGTGGAAGTGAGAGAGGTGCAGCTCTTCCTGATGTAGGTGTCACAGTTAACTGAGATGTACTTGGTGCATTCTATGAAGAAAAGCACATCCGCTCTGTGTCAAGCTCTGAGTATTGCTTTCCTAGTTTTAATTCTGCTTGTAGTCTGCCATGGTCCTAGGGCTGCTTTTCTCCCTACTGATTCTATTTTGCCCACTGTGCATTGTGTTTAGATGACCTCTAGGGAAAATGGTGTAAGAGAGAGAGAAAATAGAGGGGTGATAACATCAAGAAAAGCTACTATTTTGAATTTGCTGGCATTCAGAGTTTTTTTAGTGCTCCTTTGCCATCTTTCTGTTTTGTGCAGCACGTGTTTTGCAATGAGACTGGCTGTCAGGATAGCAACAGGCAGTGTTCTAGGCTCCAAGCTTGAAGTGCAATGACCAGGAGCAGTAGAGTTTTGCACACTGATTGTGGAAATGATTATATTGTGCTGCCAGCACATATTTCACATGACTTGCCCTACATGAGTTTAGCAAACGGGATTGCTTTTAAAAGGTGAATGTTTTCTCTCTTCAAAATTTAACTCTGGAAAAGAAAATTAGATGCATTTGTTTTATTACAGCACATGCAGTTCAAATAACTGCAAGCCAAACTGAGTGAGGGTTGGAATCCAGAGAGCAATGATGTAAACAAAAAAAATGCATGTTTGACATGGAACTGTAGGCAGTGAAGGACACTGGTGACTTTGGTAATCCTTTGTTCAAGGTAATTAGTCTCCTGAGTGTGATCAAAATTGTCAAAAAACTCTTCCTCCAACAGTTCATAGCCATACTGGTCTTCTAACCAGAAAGCTGTAACTTGTATGTCCATATATGTATACACACACCATTATCTGGTTTCAGAACAGTAACTAGACTGAAAACTGTTATGGTGGTCCAGTAAAACATCCAGCTGTGCTTTTGACTTGCCCCAGTTCCTAACCTCCACCTCCAGTTCTAGGGAGGAACAGATGCCACAAGAGTTATGATTTATGGTGCTGCTCGCTGCCAAAAACTTTCGAACTGCAGGCTGGGGCTAAGTAAAACGGAACGATACTGTGAAAAGAATTGACACTTAGCATATTTTATTAATTGTCAATGTACAGTTGGGTTGCTCATGGCTTGTTACTAGTGCATTGTTTTCACAATTTCTTGGAACGTGAAATTCATTAAAGTGCTGGAAGGGAAAGTTGTTGTAGCCTGCTTGTAACACTGTGCCGCATGGTACAGCTCTGTTCTGCAGTATGTTCCCAGTGCATGGTAGGCAAAATACTTACAGAGCTGCAGGAGCTGTACAGTTTAAATTCTCAGAACTTTCAGAGGCAGCAGTGAGGGTGAGAAGTGAGCAAAAGCAGAGCCCAGCATGTGACACGTTAAAGAGACTGAGGAAGGTGCAGAAGGCAGGCTTTCTATGGGAATAAATGTTGCGTAAAGCAGAAGAAAGATCTATGGCAAAGCAAAAATTATAAACAGAGATGGAGTCTGCAAAGCCTGTAAGCACTGGTGAGACTTATTCCACCTCATTGCTCGGCTGCTTTTTTATAATTTATTTTAGGGATGCATGCTTTTTCTATGCTAATGTAATGATTTGTGTAGATGTATTTTTTTGACAGCTTAAATAATTCTAACAAAACACGATTCTCTATTTTGATTGGATGCATACAGGTCAGAAACTGACAGCATTTCTGTAAAGCATCTCTAATTGAATCAAGTGCTAAACCACTTCTTTATAAGGTGCAGTTGATGTGAGCCTTCAGGAACCTTCTAGTGGGGAATGCACAGGAACAAGGCACCCACACAGATTGATACAGATTTTAAGCACTGATTAACACTCAGCTTGCTTGGATGGCAATTTGTTAGGTGAAAAGTGGTCCCAATCTGAGAAGTGGATAAAGGAGCTGGGCTTTCTAAACTGGAGAAACATTCACACGTATGCTAGTTTGTACCTGAAAAAAGCTGAACTTTCCCTGAACACAAAGCTGTGGCATCTAAACCTCTGAAAGCTGAAGGTGGAGATAGGTGGTAACTGGAGCATTCAGGAGTTCATATGAAAACCTGAGTGCCAGTTAGCTGGTTCAGGGAGCTGAACAGTTCATTTAGCTGTGCCCTTAGCTGCTGTTAGTAAGTAAACAGGATGTGAGAGCAAGATCAGAGTATGCAGAGCTCCTCTGAAGGGCAAAGCTCTTACAGCTGCATGCATGCAGATACCAAGGCACCAGTGTAGGTGCATTTTCTGCATGGGACATGAAAGCCTTTACTCAGTAAGCAACTCTCTAAGCATTAGCAGGATCTCATTCCCACTGCATTCACTTGAACACTCATGTGCCTCAAGGTACAGGTGCAGTTAAGGAGCATGAGAGCTGGCTCACAGGTGGAATTGAGCAGTCTGGCAACTGATTTACAAGTGACCCTTTCAAAAGAGGAAATGGTTCCTTTTTTTTTTTTTTTAAAATTTTATTTTAAAGCCATATTGAATCCTCGTGTTTATCCATGAATTTACATCAAGGATGCTTTTGAATGTTGTGGGTTATCTCAGAAGCCTTTATTCTGGTAACTTGTGCTCTTATAAATATTCTGAAATGATTCACTTGCATTACTGACAAATGCTATGCAAACTGTACAGCATCTATTCACCTAATGGCCATCAGATGTGATTTCATGGAAAGCCTGAAAGGCTCTTTTGCTTCCAACCACCCCTCAGAAGCTGTGCAGGACAGCATTTGCAGCACTGAGTGTGAGCAATGTTCATGCTGCTTGCTGTTGTGGCAGCTTTTATCACAACTGTTCATAGAAAATATAGTATAACTTACTTTTTTTTTTTAAGTTATCATTAAGATGCTTAGTTGCTCTAGTATAACATGCTACATGCAGAGGAACTACAGAATAAGGTGTCCTCAACAGTCTGCTTTTTGTTACTACTAAGAAAGGAAACATCAGTGATATGAATTTCACATCTCATTTTCTTGAAGCACAGGAGACTGACCACCTTGAAGAGTAGCACTGCTACTTTCTTTCACCAACAGCCACACCTGGTTCCAAATGAGTACTAAAATTAAAAGCTTACAGCTGTGATTTTGATACCATCCTCTCATTTGGATGAACTCCTGTGTATTTCAGCTGTAACCCATTCTGCATAGCCTTGTTCTGTCTCAGACTTGCAAGAAGCATTCTATAGTTCCTCCACAGCATTTCATGCTCTAATGTGAATTTACTGTATGTCAGCAGAGTGCTTAAGTATCCCATGCAAGGATAGCCTTAAATAGTCATTATTTCAACTCTTCCTGTGGGCAGTAAGTTTCTAATTAATGAATTTGCAGTGCCAAATCCTTCCTTTTGATTGATTCAGAGAAGAGGGAGCACTCTAAAGATTTGTGAAAAGTTCTTCTCAATCTTGCTGACTTTCCACAGCAAGATAGGTTAAAGCTACTTTAGAATAGAAGAAAAAAATCTGAAAATAAGCAAACACCAAACCCACAAAGTTCTCTAAATCCTGTTAGATGTGAAGGAAGCGTTGATTACCACATTTAAAAACATTTTCAGGTTCTCCATTGTAATAGCTCTCAGCCAAACCTTTCCAAACCAATTAGACATGGTAAAATTAATAGGATTATCATGAATTATGTTTCAGATTCAATTTATCCATCTTGTCCAAATTCTGCTTTGAGGGAGCATTTGGAAGAACCCATAAAGGAAAAAGCTATCTGTATACTACTGGGTTGGCTACATCTGATTCACCTCTCTGCATTTCTTTCATTTCTGCTTCTTAAGATTACTTTAGACTGCCACTGAAGGGAAGGTTTTCTGAGATAATGGGTCAGATTTTAATAGCAGCTTCCCTATTATGTATGGGCCATCAAGATAAGCAGCTCTTTGAATAACTCAGAAAAAGAAAACTCAGTGGCTTCATGCAGTTGTCTTCCTCATATGAGCTTTGTTTGGAACACAACAATGTTAGATCATTAAACTTGCTAAGAGATAGAAGGTATTTGAGCACAGCATTCTCAAGACAAGTGAGAGCGATGAGTGGCAATATCTTAAATGAGGAAAAGCAATTATGTATTTTGTAAGGAAAGCATTAAAAAACAAATATCACATCTATATGTAACAATTGAAATTTCATGGTACTGTGGGGAAATATACGCATTCTGAATTATTCCCTTTTGCTAATGAATTTTGTTAGTGAATTTTGTTAGTGAATTCTAAGCCATGTTTTATGTCAGATACAGTTTTTATTTTTCACTGTTTATTCCTAAGTTCAGGTGGAGTTAAGCATGCCCAAATTGGTTGTTTGCCTGCTTTGTGTCACATCTGGAAATAGTGTTGGAAAATCACTATAAGTATGGTGGGGTTACAATAGCACTTCCCAAGGAAAAACAGATGAAATGTCATTGTTCCAGTCCCCCCCTCCTCATTCATCAGGCACTGAGCAAATGGGGACAAGATCACTTCAAAAGTTTGTTCATGTGGATCTAATGCTACTCTGAAGTGTAAAAAAAAAATTAAATAATTTCTTTCAGCCTTGATATTGCCTATGGCTGGATATTCATATTAAAGCAAATCCAAAGTCTCATTGACTTAAATGGGACTGTTCACATGGCTCAATCTTCAGAGAAATACCAGAACATGTTTTTACAATGAAGGAATAAAATGCTTTATTCTTTCTTCATTTTGTTCTGCACAAAGCACTTTTTTTTTTCTTCTCTCTAAAATAAGCCTGCTCTCTACACTGAAATAACAATCAAAAAGTGAAGTCCTTTTTTGGAAGCAAGAGTTGAGACCTTCAGCTAATATAAACTGCTGGAGTTGCACTGAACTCTGAGCTGCATTCTTTCCAAAGATCTCTATTGCTGCATCTCATCCAAATGCATGTGCCTGTGAGGCTTCTCTTTGCAATTTTTAGATATAAATTAATGTTTATAAATGGTTATTGAAAGCACTACAAAAAGAATTTGTGCACAACAGTTTGTGGGGGAGACAGGTGTTAGGGAAAGTGTTAAATGAGACAGGCAGCTTTTTGCTTGGAACCTGGCATTGCTGTTCCACTGTGCACATTGACAAATATGCTATTATTTCTGCTGGGACTGGATATGTAGAAGCAGAAATCATGAGCAAACGAGAGTGAAGTAAAAAAGGCAACATTTGAAGGGAGGAAAAAGGAGCTAAGAGTAGGACAGTCACATTTACTGACAGTTTGTACCTGGTTCTGAGCCAGCCTCTGAGAACAAATGAAGGTACAGAAAGGACAGGACGTTATGCTACAGACAGGTCCTGACCAAGAATCAATTCCATGTAGTATTATATACATACATATGTGTGTGTATGTCTGTGTGTGTGTGAATGCCTGCTAAAAATATCATATACTACAGGCCAAGCTATTTAAATACTACACAGAAGTTTTATTAAAGGAAATTAATAGCCTTTTAGAAAAATCACACATCATCATGTGTAGGAAGAAGGCAGTAAAGATGTGTATTGTTTTCACTTGTTTAACCCTACAAGTTTCAAGTGGCTTTTCCCACCTGTACCACGTGAATATGCTGTTATTACTTTTACACATTATGAATTAACTTAGAATTAAGAACAGTGTCCAAGACCACCTTTTGAAGTACAAGTTATTCCAATTTGTCCCTTTTCTTATAATCACAGACTCATTAAGGTTGGAAAAGATTGCTAAGATCATCTAGTCCAACAGTCAACCCATCACCACCACACCCACAAGTGCCTTACATTCCATCCACTGTATTTCTGCATTATCTGTAGGAGTATTTTTTGCTCCTGCCCATTGGAAGGCTACTCCATAACTGGTTAAGCCGCCTGCTTTGCTTCTCTAATACAGCAGTTAAAGAAAATCATTCCACAGAGCTCTGTTCAGTCAGGAAAATCATGCATTCCTGCTCTGCTGTACATAGAGCAGGGTGCCAGCACTTGGAATAACGTGCACTTGGCCTGACCCACAGCTTGTTGGAAGACTCCTGTTGATTGGGCTGGATTCTGGATCAGGCTCCTTGTGACTAACTTCTGGCATAATACTTAGGATTGGGTTCCATGGAAAATTAAGTTAGGAAACTGGATAGAAAATTTGAGGCCAAAAGTCAGACATTAGTGTTGTTTTGAAGAGTATTCCAGGTTCAACAAACTGATCCAAGTCTTATGAACTCTTAGTGGATCTGACTGTGCAAACATGCAAAAGTTTTACATGGTTCAAGGAAACGTCCTACAAAGTCAGGCACATGCAAACAAAATCTGTAGCTGCGTACTAGCATCTTCCAGGTACAAACACTTGATTTGAAATAACCTGTTTCCTCACTTAAACAGCATTCTGAAACCTATTACTGTTTCCTCTATTGCAACAGGTGTTGAAGCAGTCATGCACTGAGATTTTATATTTGGAACCATCCAGTGTCTGTGTGGGAGGTAAGTTCTCAAAAAAATATTACTATTATAGGACTGATATCCACATTTTACCTAAAGGGAAACCACCCAGGTCATCTAGAAAAGGAACATCCCTCCTAAAATTCCTTGAGGACTTTTAAGACAAAATCAGATCCTTTTGTTGGCTCTTTTTTCTCAGGAACTGTCTACTGAGGGCTGCTCCTATAACTTAAGTCATACATAGGAACAGCTTTGAGGCACCTATTTCCCATTGTATGATGTGTACAATTAATCATGCTTTGTACTTCTGATACTTAAAGCAGTGATACATTTATGACACTCCTATTCTTAGCCTATGGTCACCAAGTGGTGAATCCTGATAACATAAGTCCATATAAATGCCTGAGAATATTTATAGAGCTCTGAATGTGTTAGTGTGAGCAGTAAAGCATTTGACTGTTCTGGTGCAATACAGTGGCATTCCTTACATAGAAGAGCTACACAAAATTATAAGTGCTTGTCTTCTTCCCAGTTTCACAATTCACACACTCTGAAACCAATCAAAATAAGGTGGTTGCAAAATCTGTCTATTTGGATGTCTTTTAGAAACATGGATCATCTCAATGAAATCAGTTGCTTCAGTAAACAAAGTTGTCCCTTCTCCTCTGCAAGATTTCACACTCACAAATAGCATGGCTCTTACGCAACTCCCAGAGAAGCATTTGTGAATAGAAATATTCTCTTCTGGAGCTTCAAACAAGCCCAATCAAAATCTGGAGTTTCTTGCAAATAAATACCCAGATTTCTTTCCTCACGTGCAACTGAGACATGGGGAACTTACTAACACAGGTCCTGCTGTTAGTCAGAATCAACTGAGGGAACAATTATTTATTTTTCCTGTAATGACTTAACTCTGCAGTTAAGTACCAGGAATTAACTAGTAATGTTTCAAACTTAAGATACCTTCTTATGCTGAGCATCATTTATTGCTAACCATATTTAAATTATCTTCTAAGTTGCAGTGCACTGAATAACTGTGTTTGTTGTTTTCTTTTTCCCTGCAGAGGAGTTCCAGGTTGTTCTTAGAGGAAGTGGCTTAACCCTTGGTGGGAGAACTGATGGTGTTACTTGCACCTATCAAGTGAATGGAACTACCATTCGTAAGTATTGGAGTTAGCAGGAAATATAAAGGCAAATCATTTCTAGGTGATTTTTTTTTTTCCTTTTTACCTCATTTAAAGAAAATCTAAACAAAGGCATGGAAGGAAGGAAGGAAAATAGGAAAGCTCTGAGGATTGGCAAGAAGATGTGTGTTGTTCACATCTTGCTCAGTGATTTGAATTTGCTACCAGTTACCATTAGCTGTGACCAGCAGCTACATGGAATAAGGTGTAGGTAACCATCTAGCTCCTAATGTACCTATGACAAAACATAGCCACAAAGCATGCTGACCAAATGCCCCTTCTCATCAGGTGACCATGGTCAAGAAAGGCCCTTGTGATCATTCCAGAAGTCAATGTTACCCAAGCTTATTCTGAAGCATCTCCACCCACACTGTCCAGTATACAAGAGGTATAGCTGATAGATTGTCACAGGAATTTAGCAGGGCATTGGTGCCACTTCATGACACGGAATCCTCTCCCTGGAACTTCTTCTACAATTGGTAGTGTTTTTCCCTATACTGGGACATCTTCATCTGCTTAGTACCTTGAGCAGCAGTCTCCTCCAGGAGAC